CACAGCATTTTCTAAGCACTTTGGGGCGTTGCCAGAAGACTTTTCTTTGTAACGATGCAGATCCCTCCTGCGGCTACCCGCAGCGTCCCGAACATGCGGAGTCTGTGTACATGCTGTACCGCGCGACCCATGATCCTGCATACCTTGTGATGGGAAGGGAGCTGGCGTTGGCGATCAACTTGCGTATGCGGACTCCGTATGGCTTCTCCACGCTGCAAAGAGTGAACCTTCCCCACAGTGATCAACACCACGGCGACACGATGGAGAGCTTCATGATTGCAGAGACGCTGAAGTACCTGTATCTTCTCTTTGATGAGTGCAACGTGGTGCACGTTCAGGGGAAGCTCCGTGGCAGCGTCCCGCCATATTGTGCGGCTGTGGAGGGAGGCAGCAGTAGGGGGAGCCATGTGGGGTGGGTGTTCAACACCGAGGCGCATTTGTTTCCCAACACGGCTGAGTGGTGGGGACCCAACGCTGTAACAGATTCATTTGTGTGGCTAGATGATTATATTATGTGGGGTGAGGATGTTATTCCGTTCATGTTTCCATCTGATGATCGTCTGGGATGCCATGCTGCGTTTAATGATGATGGTTTAGCGGCAGGGGTGGAGTTGCATCGGGAGCGTCTGGAGGTGATTGATGGCCTCATTGAAAACTTTAATGCGTTGAAGAGCAAGGGCAAAAAGCGATGGGCAGGCAAATACCATTGAGCACCAATTTTCCTGTGCGAATCACGCCGTAACTGACGTTGAACGGATTTCAAAGTCTATATTTCGCTGATTTGGGCTAATGTATCCGTCTGTGTGAAAGCAAGTGTAGACACTTTGTGTGTGTTGTTTTTTTTGATGTGCTTGTTTGTTTTTTGCCTTGGTGCCGAGTTCGTATGACAGCTCTTGTGTTGATGCGTACCATCTATGTTTGTTTGTCGTGTGTCGTGTCCGTGAACGTCTGGCGGGCGTTTTCTTTTGCCTTTTTTTTTGTGCGTGTGTGTTAGTCTTTTGTGTTTGTCACGGGGTGGCACCGCGCTGCTTCCCTCTTTCGCTCTTTTCCTGCCTGTCTCTGCCGCTCTGTCCTCACCTCAAAGGTTGAGGTTAGGCTGCACCAGCACAGGCGCCTTGCCGCTGTAGTGTTGTGTTGTGACGTGTTTGGCGCGTTTGGCTGGTGGTGATCGCTCCCAAGCGCTTCGTGTTTAGCTGCGGGTAGCGGACAAGCGCAGCGTTGGGAGTGTGAGAGTACAAGCGAGAAGGCGAAAAGCTCCAGGCCACACTACCGTACATCCATCCATACATATATATATATATATATATATATAGACCTGTTTCTATTGCTTGCGAAAAGTAGCTTGATGTTATCATGTGCATCGAAGGAGCCGCTCACGGGGGACCTGGACACCCTCGGCGTGCTGCACCAGGTGATGCGGTTCGTGCCGTACAACCGCCGCACGCTCTGCGCGATGCGGTGCGTGTCAAAGCCCTACCGCCGCGCTGTGCAGCACCCGCAAGGGCCATGGGCGGGCCATGAGGGGATTATGACGTCAAAGTACGGTCACTGCGTCATCTTTAACGCCAAGGACGACGAAAAGGGACACTCCAACTTTAGTCTCTCCTCTGTGTCTCCCATCGGACGCAAGTTTACCACACTTGGCGTGAAGATGCTGAGCCGCTACCACCAGTGTGTGGCGAACGGTCTAACAGGGCTGGTGCTGCATCATGCGCAGATCGACCTTGAGGTTTTCGATGCCTTGGCCCTGCTTACAAACCTACGGAAACTGGAGTTGGCATTTTGTCGCAAAATTATCTCCATTGCGGGGGCGAGTCGTGTGACGAATCTGGAGTCGCTTGAAATAGACCTTTGCCCCCTTGAACCGGACGGCGCCGTCGGCTTGCTGCTCCCTAAGCTCAAGCGACTCAGGCTGCACTCGTGCACTAAACTGAGCAAGCTGAATGGCATCGCACCAGCCACCGCCGCGGCGTTAGAGGAGGTGTATATTGAGAACTGCAACATCTATGATGATACCGTCAACGAGTTTTTTATGAACTTCACCACAAATTTGAAAGTTCTTCATTTGCCTGGGGCTCACGTTGATACTGCCCTCACCTGTGTGCCTGCAGAGGTGCGGGAAAAGTCCCTTGTCTCACTGCACCTCCGCGAGACGTCGTTGCGATTTGAAACCCTGTGTGAATTGGCGCCATCTCTGCAGAATCGCCTGGAGTTCCTCTCACTAGATTCCTGCGGCGAGCTGGAAAGCTTTGAGCCCCTCGGCAGACTCCAGGAGCTTCGCTTCCTTGACGTTGCCGGGTTTCTCCACGGTGAGGGTCTGCAGTTTCTGACCTGCTGCGTCAAGCTGGAGCTTTTTCGCATGGCTAACTCACAAATAGAAAATATCATGTTCGTCTCCTCACTGCAGGCGCTGCGGGTGCTGGACGCCACCAGCTCAGCCCTCGGTGACCCTTCGCTGATGTTCCTTGAGAATTTGCCTATGCTGGAGGTGGTGGTGCTGACGAAATGTGTGCTCATCACAAACATCAATGTGTTGAGCACGTGCAAGCGCATTTGTCGCATCTTCTGCGCCAACACGGGGGTTACAAACGAGGGGATCACCTCCCTCACAGCGTGTCCCGAGTTGGAGGAGCTGGACCTGAAGATGACGGCGGTCACCGACGTCAACTTCCTTGTCGGCTGCCCCTCGCTCAAGTGCATCAATGTATGTAACGCGGTGCTAAGCTGTGAGGGATGCCAGGCCCTACTGAAGAGCAATATCGAGGTTATCTGCGACTCGTTTGATGTAGGGAGTAATTTCGTTGATGCGTAGAGAAAGGTGGGGGGATGACAGGAGGACAAAAAAAAAAAAAAATCACCAACGAGACGACAACGCCAAGGTGAGGGCACGGATTGAGTTCAAAAGCGCGTACACACGTACACATGGACAAGGAAAAAAAAAAAAAACAATGAAAGGGGGAGAAAAATACAAGTACCCTTTTGAGGGCATTTAACGATTTGTATTTGTCGCTCATTTACAGCTGCGTGCGGCTGACTGGCCTTCTCTCTATTTCTCCCTCTCTTGCTATATATATATATGGCGGGGGAACACGGCAACTTTCCTTCTATCTTCGCGCTTCCACTCCTTTTTTCATGTGAATTTTTGCTCTGCGTGCTTAACCCCTTCATTTGTTTCATGTATCTTTCTATGGCGAAAACGAAGGAATTTAAGGGAGTTATTGGAGGAGGGGGGTCGGCAAGTGAGAACCGCCGCCTCCTGTTTTTTTTCTCGTTAGGCCGGAGCCTCCGTCGGGCGTGTAGCTCAGTGGTAGAGCGTCCGTTTCGCATACGGAAGGCCTAGGGTTCGATCCCCTACTCGTCCAACTTTTTCTTTTTTGCCTATCCCCCAGTTCGCAGCTCGGCGGCCGCGGCAGCACGCAGAGAGAGGCGAACGATGGAGAAGGACGCCGTATGCAGCAACAGCAAGGGCGGTGGGGAAACACGGTTGGGGGTGGAAGCAAATGATGACCACATTGGGTTAGCCAACACCATCAAGTTGTTTCACTATCGCCTACAGCAGCGCATGTCAGCTGACACAGCTGTCTTACCGTTGGGGGTGGGGCAAAAAGAAGAGGAGGGGACACAAGAAAACGAGGAGGCGCGTTGGTTCCGTCTTATATCGGAGGAAGGACAAAATATGAAGGCCTACGCGACCGCGATGCATGATATTGCTACCCGTTATTGGGACCCGTGCCAAGAGGGGAAGAAGACGACAGGACGTGGATTCCCTTCCCATGTTGCGTCTACAACTGGCGGAGTGACACTAGCCCGCTCTAGGCGTCCGCGGGGTACGAACCGAGAGGAAACTAGTAATCAACTTGGACAGCCCACATGTGGGTCACTGCGCTACAACGACCGCGTGGCGTACTCGTTGCACTGCGTGGCTGATTATTACCTCGGTAGCTGCGTACCGCTCGCCAATATCGAGCCGCAGTTGCAGAAGCGTCGTGAGACTCGTCCTTTAGACTCTTCTGAGGAAAGCAGTGACCCCCAGCATTTCTCGGTGGCTCCATGTAGTAGGATCTATGAACGCATTCCCCGTATTGCAACGACTTACATAAAGGCATGGCGCCGCGCCTTTTATGCCGCTTGCGGCCGCCAAGCAACCGCATCTGAAGTTGAAGCTGCAGCGTATGATGCGCTTACTCTGCATGGCTATGAGGGGGAAAAGAGTAACGAAGCTGATACGAATGCACTGTCAGAGCCTCTGCCTCATAAGACTCTACGATCAAACTACGCCCAAGGGAGATTGAAGGGTGACTCGGCGGCATCATTGGCTGGTGTTTACATGTCTTTGACACACGATGCGGTAAGAAACTGTAGTTCCACTAGTAGTGGTGACACACCACTGCTACCTGCTCTGCCGCTGCAGGTGCTCGATGTAGGCTCCTGCTATGGCCCGTTTAGAGGAAAAGAGGTTACTAACGGGGTGTTGCAGGTTTCCCTAGAAGTGACAGCACTGGACCTGTGCCCCTTTGAGGGCAGTGGTGTCCTGCAAGCGGACTGGCTTGCTGTTCGCTTTTATGATGTGGGGGAGCGACGGAAGGGTGCGACCTCAGAAGCGGTGGAAACAGAAGACGGTGATAGCAGCAATGACATAAAGTGTGCTACAGCGGCGAATCCGGGATCACTTGTCCGATTCAGTGCTGACGCCGATGGCGTGGGGAAAATGCCTAGAGGGCCTCTTTGGGTGGCTCGTGGCCAATTCGATGCCGTGTTTTTTTGTCTGATGCTCTCCTTCCTCCCGCATCCTCGGTTGCGGTACCGCGCCTGTCTTTACGCTCACTTGGCCCTCAAAGATGGAGGTTTGCTTGTGATTGTGAGCACCCGTACGCAGTGCACCCGCCGTGGCTCCTGGATAGACGACTGGATTGCGTGCATTGAAGGAATAGGCTTCAAACGGGTGCACAAGCACATCATGGGGCAGATTGTGGGGATGAGCTTCAGCAAGCAGGCGCCGCCGGATAGTGCGGGCGACACAGCAGCGTGGATTAGGGGTATGATGGATCGCCCTGAGGCAGAGGGCGGCCTGCGCATCCTCGGAGACGAGTCCCGCTAACCTCAACTGGCGCAATAACCACCTCAAGCAAACCAAAAGCATTAGATAGCACCAACTGTGTATTCTTGACTGTTCAAAGTGGGGGGCCACTGGGTCGTTGAACCGCCCCTCATTTTTTTTTTTTGGTGTGTTCGTCATATGTGTGCGTTTGTTCTTGCCGTTTCATTGCGGCAGTGGTGCTCGTTACGGTACTTGTGTGCGTCGGTGTTTCGGGGGGTGCACTGCCCCTGTTGCGGTGTTTTTTCGGCTTCTGCTGCATTTATTTTCTCACACCCTCCCTTTCTCTGCCCACGGTAGGGCATGGGGGATACTTACAGGCAGCGAGAGAGAGTCGCCACACTACGCGCTGCCTAAGTGGCGGGAGCGGCAGCTGTGCAGCTCTTTTTCGTCGTCGTCGTCACCGTTGTTCCCCTCTCTCCCTCCCTCCCCCCGCTAGCCTCCTTCTGCCTTGATTGTTGCTGCTCACTGGGGTGACTGTGTACTCCGCCACCGAACACCGGTCTGGTTGCGGCCACTGCGGTGTGACGACGACAAATAATAGTAATAATAGTTGTTGTTGTTATTGTTTTGGCGCTTGTGGTGATGCTTAACGTGTGCCTTCTCCTTTTAACAGGCGACAATACACCGCGGCATTCCCCCTCCCCCCAATGATCTTGTCTGCAAGCCCATGCTTGTTTGTTTGGGGGCCGCGTTACAGTTGGTGTTTTGGGGTTTCTTTTTCCCGCATCGTTCTCTCGCCCTCGCCCTTTCCTCTTTTCCTTTCGTTCTTTGTCTTTTTCTTTTTTTGGGGATCGAACTCACTCTCATTTTTTTTTTTCTCTCCTCTTTTTTATCATCAAATATTCCCTACCGTCCTGGGATTTGCCAGACTGCAGCATACACCTTTCACACTTCTGCCATCACCGCGCTGTCAAGCGGTACACAGTATAGGCTGTTGCGAAGCATGGAACTGCATATTTTTGACTTTGATGGGACAGTTTTCTACTCTCCTAGCCCATCCATCAGGATAAAGGAGACGCACGGGGCAAAAGTGTACGCAAGGCTCATGCGGCCGCTCATGGACAACGGCCTGGGTTGGTTTCAAAGCCTCACCACACTGTTGCCGCCCGCGGTGCCAATGACTCCGTCCATCACAGACTGGTACGTGGCACCCGTCTTCCAGCGAATGATGGAGCTAAGGCAGCGCCAAATTGATGCTGCCGCCATTGGTGTCTCGGAGTGCGTTAAGATGTTTGTGTTAAGCGGTCGCGACGAGAAGTTCCGCCATCGTATTGATGAGCTCTTAACGCATGCGGGGTTGCGAGACATGTTGGGTGCGGTATTTCTGAAGCCGCACGAGACGTACGGTACAGTGAAGTTTAAGCTGGAGACCTTCTACTCACTGATTGCTCAGCACCATCCCAAGCATGTGTATTACTACGAGGACCGTGTGGAGCAAGGACACAAGCTCCTAGACGGCATCCGGTTGCTCTCACAGGCGCTTCACCCTGATGCTCCCGAGTCGTTTTACGTCCATACCGCAGTATTCGAGGAGAACGGTGCACTTCGTCCATTTTCCCATGAAGGGAAAGAGGGTGATGCGCGAAGTGGACAGGCTGTGCGTTGGTGGGATGAAACCAAGCGACGCGCTTCGCCGGACCCTTTAACAAGCATTACCCCCTTCATCTTTACACTGTTGTTGATCGATCCAGTTTTAACATCACGCTGCGAGAACTTGCTAACCGCGACTACGGAGGATGAGGTTATTGCACAGCTGCAATATGAGCGTGACGCGTATGAACTCAATCATCCCAAAGAAACAAAGAACAATTATCGTGGACGTGGTTCTAATCGTCGTTATCACCCACAAAAATAGGTGGCTTTGGGCTGGGGGCAACACATTAAAACTTAGTATTGACGCAATTGTGTAGGTAGTTTTTTTTTTCTAACTTTTTTGGCAATGTGGCTGATGTCTTGCACTTTACTCCTACACACCTATACGTGATTTTATCTATCTGACTACCTCGCCGTTTTCATGTATGTGACTCTTGCGGTGTGTGTAAGAATGTGATTAGAAGGTACATGTGTGCATTACCCAATGAATGTGCATCGCAATTTATTTTAAATATGTACGTGTGTGTATGAGTGTTTTGCGCGAACCACCCTATTTTTTTTTTTTTTGTATTCAAATTGTTTTTTCTTTTTTTTTTGTCTTCAAATTGTTTTTTTTTTTTTTGCTTCAAATGCTTTTTTTTTTTTGTATTTGTGGGTGAATACATGTTTATATGGGGCATCGTTCTGCGGTGAGGGCCGTCATGGTTATTGGCATGCGGAGTGCTCAACTGCCACCGCACCTCGCTCTCTGCCACAGTCCTTGTCGACACTGGATTGTCTCCGCTGGGGGTGGCAGCGAGAGCTACCAGTGCTTTTTCCAATACAAGGAACACGCATGTGAGCGTCACGTTTTCCCAGCTTTGACACCGCTCCCCCCCCACTCTGTAGCGAGGTTCCGCCTCGATCATCTGCTCCCCGAAGACTGGAGTGCGTTGCTGCGGCACTGCCGCCGTCTGACCTCGCCGCACGGCAGCTTCACCTACTCCTTCCCGGGGGACACGGCCGTCGCCACCACCGCAGGCGATGCCGCTTCGGCGGTGGTGACGAATGTGGCGTTTATGCACATTGTTGAGCGGACAGCTGGCGACTTTGTACCAAACAACATGATTTACCACGAGCTGCAGCGGCGGTACTTGGTGTTGCCGTGTTATACTGCAGAAACTGGCACAGGCGCGGTGGATTTTACCTCCTGGTTGCGCTGCTTGCAACAAGGGGAGGCAAACATGGAAACGGAGTGTGCGGCAGACGAAGGTGCAGGGGGATCCACTGATACGCACTGCGCTTGCCATAGAAAAGACAGCACAAAATATGCAGTTATTTCCTGCCGATGCTTTTTCTTATTCTTCTGCTTCTGCCGTTGCTCCTGATTGTCAGCGGAAAGATGCGGGCGGAGGTATCTTTACCTTTTTTCCTCACGCGGTTGTGGTCTCGGATTGCATCCCGTTTCGTTCGCGGTACTTTGTCGTCATGGTGAACCACAAACCCATTGTGCGTGACCACCTGATGGTGGTCCCCATTCGCTGTGTCGGGACGATCCACGCGCTGACGTTGAAGGAGGTGGAGGATTGGGGCCGCGTCATGCACCTCACACTGCGTGTGTTGAAGCGGGTATCAGCCGTTCGAGGCAGAGCCAGCGATCATGCGTCGAGCGACTCATCCGCTGCTCACATTGGCGCCGTGGAGGGTGGCTTCAGCATTGCCATTCAGCAGGGGACGTTTGCAGGGCAGACGGTGCCGCATCTTCACACACACATCATACCCTTCGACCCGCGTGGGAAGCTTGCGGGGGAGCCGGAGGATGAGGCTGTGCAGCAGCGGCAGCCCTGCCGTGCGGGGGAGCAGATGCGTGAGGAAACGGAAATGTTCAAGTCCTACTTTGAGCTTCTCGCGGGATGAGGTGTGGGGGGCTTGACACACGCAATGCAACCGAGGCAGTAACGGTGGTGTGTGTGTGTATGTAAAACAAAAAAAAAAGAAAACAAAATAGAAAAAGAATCAAATTGCCAAATGGAGAGGAAAATTTAATACACATAAAAATAATAATAATGATTGAGTGAGAGGGTGAGAGATCGAAAAGTATGTATTTGAGGCGTTTGCCGTTGCTTCTGTGGAGAGTGAGCGAGAAATGGTTGCGGAGGCCTCTTTCTTCTTTTGTTGCAGGGGGACTTCTCTATTGTTGCTGGCAGCAACGTTATGTGTGTGTGCATTTGTCGGCACCTCACTCTCTCCCTTTTTTTTTTTTTGTAACATTTACCCCGAGGCTCAAGTGCTGAGGCACACGCCCCAACATAGAAAAAGTGAGAGGAAGAGAGATATATATATATATATAGAATCGGCGAGGCCTGCGATGAAGGCGGCTATGGATGCCAAGGCACTTCTTCGGCGGAGACATCTTCATCAACTGCGGACGCTGGCAAAACGTTCTCCCGCATTTATCCAGAGAGAGTCCGCCAAGCTTTGCTCCCTGCTGTACGAACACATCCAAGCACTGTGGAGCTCTCGACCGGAAACTCAATTGCTGCTTCTCTGTGGATACCTGCCCCTTTACTACGAGATGGATTTAACTGCGCTGTTTCGCCGCTTTTGGCTGGAGACGCAGCGGGCGGGCCTGCCTAATGTCAAGGTATTTGTCCCGATGGTGCTTTCACCGTGCAACCCTTCTAATGGTGCCACTGCCACTTTGACTCCTCTATGGCAGCGCCCGTGGGATACCGCCATGACGCGCTTTGCGAGCGGCATGGCATTTGTGGAGGTCTTTGATGAGGGGGACTTAATGACTTCCTTCGAGCGACGTGGTCAGTACGGTTTGATGGAGCCAAAGGAGGAAGTTATAGAGGAGCTTTTCAGCACAGGCGTGGGCTCCAGTTGTGGCAGGGGCACTGGCCCGCGTCACTTCATTGCGTGTGACGAGCATGAGGTGTTGTTTCCAGAGTGTGCGAAGCCAAAAAATTTGATTGAGCTGAAACTGCTGTTACGCAGTATGGAATACTCAACGTGTATGCTGGTGTTAGCACCTGGTGTTTTGTTTGACCGCTTCGGCGGCAGGCTGGGAAAGGGTGGAGGTTACTATGATCGGTTCCTCCAGTACAGTCGGGATGTGGCGGCAGGTGCGGTGGCGTCGTGGGGCGTCGGCATGGAGATGCAACTGCTGCCAGAGGAGAAGAGGCTGCCAGTTTGCACGCAGATTCTGTCGTCCGGGGGCGGTGCCCGGGATTCCCATATGGACGGCGTGGTCACGCCTGCCGGGTATGTGTCTTGCGCACCACCGGCGTAGTGCCACCGCAACACGCATCCTGTTGAGAGCGACATCTTGTGTGTCGGTGTGGATGTACGTGCTGCTTCCCTGTTGGGGGTGGAGGACTACATACGGTTGGACGCCTCAACAAATTCTTTGCTTCTTTGTCTTGTATTGTGCTGTTTTTATGTTTCCTTTGTTGTTTTGTTGTGGTTCTTCTTACGCTGTCGTCTTCGCCCTTTTCGCCGCTCAGATTAGGGCCGCCAAGCGGGCTTGCTTTGGCAGTGCCACGCCTTGCTGTGCCTCACTTGACACGCCCGCCGGCATGCCGGTGAGTCCCCAGTACCGCTTGTTTCAGCAGCGGCACTACTTAGACTACAGTGAGCGGGATGCGGGGGTATCACACCTGTGGCACGCCCACCGCCTGGCGGAGGCGCGGCTGCATCCCGGCAAGGGCATCACCGACGCCCCCGAGGTGGACTTTCGCCATCCAGAGATGATGGACAGAGACCAGTCAAAGGCGTGTGCGTTGATGACGCGGCTGCAGCGCCGCGTCATGGACGAGGAGGAGCGCATCGTGCATAGTAACAAAAACCTTCTCAACCACCTTCTCGACGTCAGCGACACCAGGTACCGGGAGCGGCGGGGAATGAACAACCGCCCCGCGGAGGCGGATCTGCGGAAGTGGTATCGCGTGGAAGAACAGGTTCAGGTGCGGCGGCGGGATCGTGAGAAGCAGGAGGCGGCTAAACAAAAGCAGAACCTCATCATCATGAAACACCTGATAGAGGCTAAGCCCTCCGTGGCGACGGCGAAGCAGCTTGCCCAGTGGCACCAGCGGGACCACACAAAGCACTTGAGGGATATGAGTCGGTTCAAGCGCGCGGAGCCGTTCGCGGGGGCCAATCTGCTCCGCAGCAACTGCCGTATGAAGCTGGCGGAGCGTGTGGCGGATCACGTGGAGTCCCGCACCGCCGCACTGAAGCCACTGCTTTGGAGGGATTACAAGTTGCCGACGCTCATGGACACGCTGAGCTCTGGGAAGCTGCTCCCGTCGCTGGAGGAGGCTTCAAGAAGCTATGCACAGGGGAACCTCACGCTAAACGCGGCGGACGATCCCCCCTGGACGTGGGTCCGACCACACCGGTGGCGGGAGAAGAAGCCGGAGTGGAAGAGCATCACCGCCTTGGACACCAAAGTGATGAATTACGCAAACGATTTGGCGCTGGCACGGGGCGGGGACCTTCCGATCGTTCGCCGTGAGGAGGAAAATGGCGTTACGCGTCTGTGGCGAGAGGGGTTGGAGCGGAGCTACCGGGCAAAGGAGCGTCACGCGCGGGCGGCGAACCAACAACACACCATCGCTGGGGTGGGCGACGCAGATAATGCGACGCCTCGACTGGTTTCCAAAAACACCATCATGTGGGACGCGGACCGCTGGAAGTCGAGGTCCAGCATTTTCACGTTGCTGCGATCGCGAAGCTCAAAGTCGTCGGGGAAGTTTTCTCAGCGCCAAGCTAACGATAAATGGCCCCCCCCTTTTTCGCCGAAGGGGCGAACAAGAGGAGTCTCCCGTCAGAGTACTATCAGAAAAGATAAGCCTTCAAGAAAACGACGTATCTTTTTCAGGGTTGCCCAAAGTGGAAACACACTCATTTCCCTTTGCTTTTGCCCAGGTCCACAAAGAGGATGCTGCAAGTTCTGAGCAGGCCTACGTAGCAGCTTCCGGTACGACCAGGACTGCGCGCGTGGTGTAAGTTCTGAGCAGGCCTACGTGGCAGCTTCCGGTACGGATCAGGACTGCACGCGTGGTATACGTTCTGAGCAGGCCTACGTGGCAGCTTCCGGTACGGACCAGGACTGCACGCGTGGTATAAGTTCTGAGCAGGCCTA